GCTGGCCACGCTGCTGGGGATGCAGCCCGGGGTGCGGGGGGCTCGCTGGGCTGCCAGCGCACACTGCCGGCTCATGGTGAGCTTCTCATCCACCAACACCCCCAAGTCGGTAGGGAAACACTTGCCATCTGTGTTTCTGGACTCATTTGCAGGGAGCGTAAGAGATAAAAACCAGAAAGTTCCTTAACTTTTAAATCTGCTGACTAGGAATCATGATTTTAAAAATTTTCCAATTGGATTTTTTTTTTTAGCTAATGAAACAAAAATAGTTTCCCTGATAGAAATGTGCTATGTTGTACCTTCCCGAGCTGCCCTGAGCAAGAAATTGTGCAGGGGTGAGCTGAGAAGGCGGCAGGCGGGATAGGAGGCTGTGTATGCTTCTAAATATTGCTACAAAGGAAGGATAAATGAATTGGTTCCTTCCCCTGCACGCAGCAGCATTGTGCCCTTTTCTAGTTAGCTGGCAATTAGAAAAGATGAAGTTTTCCATCCTTTTTTTTGCTTCTCTTCCAGGCAGCTAGCAGATAATGTATAAACAGCTCCAGGTCTTCTGCCTAAATCAGAGACCAAGTAGAGAATTAAGGGGCAAAGGGGGAAATTCTGTGCTTTCAGGCCAAACCGATGTTTGTACCTTCATTTTAGTTTGGATCTTCACTGTAATTAATAGTTATCTTTACACATTTTCACCTGTGCCTGATGTTCTGAAATACTCTTAATGCTGAGACGCATTTGTTTTCATCTGAACCTGCAACGCGTGAAAATATTCAGTTGGTTTTTGTCGGACTCTAACGGAGGAGGACAATTAAGTTGTCAGTCTGAAACACTTCATCAGACTCATGATGGCTTCCTGTCATGCCCACCGCCTGTCTGTTATTCCTCCGCTAGAATACAGCACATTTCAAAATGGGTCTCGTAGCTGATCAGCTTCAGGAGGGGAACCTCTGCTTTGAAGAAAGAAGCAGCAGCATCCTTTTACCTTTGGCACCTGATCTGTTTCTAGCGAGCAAACCCCAGGGCTGCCCTTTTGGAGGAGAGGTTACGGCAGGTACAAACAACCTTTAACAAAACCTTTAAGCAGTTTGTCATCTTTTATCCGTTTGACAGTAACGAGCCAAACCTCTGTTGGCCTTACAGCACTGTACACCTTCGCAGGAGGTCTGCGGAAGGTGGTAGAGGTGCAGCAGCTCTTCGCTTGGGTGTTGCGTGGAGCCCGCAAACACCTGATGTAAAGAAGGTAGTGGTGCTGTTCGTGTGGGGCGAGACGTATTTGCCATCCGCGGTTTAAAACTTCGTCACTGCTATAAAAGTACATAAAAACCTGGGTAGTAATGCCGTTTTCTTGATAAAACAGTCTAGATTGAATCTGTATCAGGTTCTCTTTGCTATACGCAGTCTCTCTCTCAAAATGACTTCCCAAGTCCAGTAGTTACCGCTATGAAAATAAATTTGAAGTATGTTGACTCATTGGACGGAAAACGCTAACTTTCTTTAGCAACGTGAAAAAGAAGCTCGTACCTTCTAACGCTTCACATCCAAGAGCTACAGCACTCGTGCTGACCGTAATCACCTATTTTTGGTCTGAAAACTTTGGACTTAGAAACAGGTGAATTTTATGAATTTAGGGAAGTTATGTTCTGTTTTTAAACTTTAACTTTCCTTTGTGTTATTTAAAAACCAAGGCTAGCAAGTGATCTTTCACTAATGAATAAATCATTACTTTCACTCAGGAAAAAGTGGGAATATCAGTATTTTTAACCTACCTATAGATAATACATGCACTGTTCCTGCATGTGTCGCAATTAGCCGTGTCTTGACCAGTCCGATATGAAAGCCTACAAAGACAAGAACACGAGGTCATTAAAAAGTAATTTGTTTTAACATGTTTTTGCCTTCTATAATTCTTTCCATAGAAATCAGAACTTCAGGATTTTCTTTTTTTAAACTTCAGTATTGAATAAAAAAACCTAGCCATTAGGAAAACGGGATCAAAAATAGCATATTCAGCTTCACTGAATAATAAAAACATGAAGTCACTTTGGAAAAGGAGTCTTTGATGACTGCAAGGAGAAAATAAAAGATTTATTTCTGTTACACTTTTGTAAATTAAAAGGGAAAACGACAAGGAAACCAAGTTACTTAAACTCTTTTTGCTAAAGCTTCTGTGTACCAAAGTGATGAACTAGCACTGTGAATGGACACGCTCAGAGTTCCCACAGGCGTCGCCGTGCTGGTTTGCTGTATTATTTTTTCTGCTTTCTCAAATACATCAGGCTTTGCCTAGTTATTGGTGGATGTATAGAACATAATGCTGAAAATCGGCATCTATTTAGAGATTTTGTGTCTCAGTAACGAGATATGGAGACCTGTTGCAGGGATGTTTATGTCTTTAAAGGAAGAAAAATGACATTTAAATAACTTTTCCTGTACTCACGCAGCCTACAGCTGTTCTTCATCATACTTTGGTTTGAAGTCTGTTACAGCAGTGTCTCTTAATTTACCTATATATTGTCTCTGACTTGGTCAATTTGAATTAAAAAGAGGTTTTTAAGGTATGCAAGTACTTTTTTGTACATCGAATTGTCATTAAAATAAATATATTAAATTAAAAAGAACACAGCTGCCTACTCATCAACACGAACGTTCTTGCACGCAAATGAGTTTAAAATGAAAATTCCTAAGTCAATATTTATATATTGGTACTTAACATCCTTTTTTTGCTAAAATCACACACTTTTAAAGTTATTTCAGTTTGTGTTAAATACAGACGAGTATCTGCAAAGTTTTGTTCAGAGTTGCTTTTCAAAGAAATGGGGAAATACCTCATCCGTGGATTTTTGCAGATGTGGGAAAACAGATGTGGTGGGGATTACTGAAGGGGAGGCTTCTGCAGTGGGGTCCTGCCCTGAAGCCTGGGACCGGCCGTACCCAAACAGTTCCACGAACTGACCTCAAATAATTCAGGGTTGGCTTTGCTGACCAGGAGCATCCCACACCTCTGCCCGGAGCTGCCCGTGCTGTGGGGACACGACGTCTCTTTCTCTGCGTCCCCGACAGCGTCACGATAGGGAAAAATCCAACACTTGCAAAAAAGTTGACTTAATTTCTATGTGACATAATATCCAACGCTATCCCTGGAGGTGTTTCAAAAAAAGGGTAGATGTGGTACTTAGGGACGTGGTTTCGAAGTGGTTTGGTCAGGGCAGGTTGATGGTTGGACTTGATGATCTTAAAGGTCCCTTCCAACCTCAGCAATTCTCTGATTCTATAATATAAAGTATTAATGGGAAATGACACACACACACTGTTCAATGTGCCCGTCCCTAAGGTGGAAAATCAGCATTTCCTAAACGCTACGGGTTATTTATTTATTGTAGTGAACATACTCTTACGCTGTTTTCCGTGAGAAAAGATCACCTGGTCCTGTGTCCCTTTTCCTTACTATTTTAAAAGTTTGAATGTCGATTCAAAAGTTTGAATGTTGATTTAAAAGTTGATTACGTGAGGTATGTGTTTGATATAGACATCCACTTTTAGGAAAGAAGAAATTCAGCAGTGTGAGCTTGAAGGCAGAGAGCGAACCGAGCGAGCCTGCGCTCGCAGGGGCGGCGACATCGCTGCTCCCACTCCGATTGCTTTGATTATCGATCGCTCGGGGTGCTGCCGTGGCCAAGCGCTGCGGGCACAGCGGCAGCACAGGCAGCGCTTCATAATAGGGCGAATCTACTTCTTTTGTGATAAAGACTTTGTTCCCTCCTGCAAGCAAACTGCAAGGGAGAGTTCTTGCTGTTCCAGTTGTTGTTTGTGATTTGAAGAGGGTTTGGAACACTGTGGATTTGAAACGTGGTATCAAGTAGTACGTCGGGGGTCTGTAAAATACTTTTTCTTCAGAGGAATGTACTCAAATTACCTAGATTGTGAAATTTTTAACAGCAAACCAGGTGTGCAAAAGAACTTCTACAAAGCCAATTTTCTATATTATGTACTATCCCTTATGGGGGAAAAAAAAACCTGTACTGGTCTATATTTGTTTATATTTATGTCTTATGCCCTCTGAGAGGGGTGAAGGAGTCTCCGTTTTTCATTTCCCCTTTTAGAGTCTTTCGGAAGTTGACATCCAAATTGTCACCACGCCATTAAACTCGGACTTGTAAAATGTTTTTCCGAGCTATTGATCAAATCCTAAAAACTCTTAGTGAGGGTACAGCGTCGCAAGTTTACAGATGAGTTGGTGAAGGCCTTTATTTACCGAGGCCGTAAAGGGTAGTGAATAATCGCCTTCAGAGCAGCGCCGCACACTTGTCTGAGCGCCTCTTGATGGGTAAAGGCATAAACACCCTGTGTTGGTGCCAAGTTGTTGTTTTGTGGTTGTGTTTTGGGTTTGGTGGTGGGTGGGGTTTTTGTGTGTTTTTTTTTTTTGTTTTTTTTGTCGTTAGTTTCCAGTTGGGACATTTCCATTCCTCTCTGTACGCCCGCAAACCCCCATTCAAAGCCCGAGTTAATGAGCTGCCTCGGAGACTGCCAACCTCCTCCTCTCTGCCGGGCTCTCCTCTTCCCGCACCGCGCCGCCCTTTGCCTGCCTCGCTCCTCCGCTGCTTAACAAAGAATTTAATAATATGAGGGTTTTTTTAAGAAGTTTTTCAAAGTCCAATGTTTACAAAAGCAAATTGTAGTATATAAGTCGTTTATCCTGCTAATGCCTGTCCCCGTTGTCCCGGCTTGCTGTGAGCTGAGCCCTGGGACAGAGGGTGACAGTGGCGTCTTATTTGTAGGGTTCCTTAGGAAAGCGGTTGGTTGTGTTTAGGGACGTGCCCGATGCGCTGAGGGATTTCCTCTAAAAGCGCGAGGTTTCTGGCGGCAACTGTAAAGGCAAGGTGGCCAGGTCATCTGTCTACCATGAATCTTGACAAGTCGTTATTTTTCCCCCTAATTGGGGTGTTCGAGAACCACGGCTTTCACTGTGGGACTGGCAAAAGGTGAGAATTTGTTGTTTGAAAGAGAAGGGAGGTTGAGGAGTGTTCCTGCGCGTGCTGAAAACCGTGAGTGGAGGAGAGGGAGGGATAAATCGGAGCCCTCAGGACAAGGCTGGAGCGGTGGTGTATCCCGCTGACAGCCCACTGGGTCTGGCACAGAACTTGGGAACACATCAGCAAGAAGTCAGATGGGATTAAACACCCAAATAAACATATTGCAGAGTTAAAAACCATACAGCTATGTCTCCAAATCCTTCCCTTCCCTGTGCGCTCACACCTGTAAAACACAAGTACGTGTGCGGGCACTATCTTGGTTTCTGTGCCGGTTTACCAACCAGTTTCCCCCAGCACCAGGCCCATCCTAACAAAAGAGGGGTGTTTTAGTTGTGATGAAGTGGCTGAGGGCTGGTGGGCTGTGACTTACTTAGCAAAAGCTAGAGGACATTTGGTCTTAATATGGATGTGCCACTTCAGTCGTGGACTACAGTCCTGCTTCCAGAACTGGCAGTGTTCTTGGTATCTTATTAAAAAATAAGGTATCGTATACACTTAAGGTTAATAAACTGTCTTTCTCAAAATTGAGTTTTCGGTATTTTATTTAAATTAGTTTCTAAAGCATATAATGATCTTTACATGCCCAATAATTCCAGATTTTCCAGTATTTAAAAAACATATTTCCTAGTTGATGGTAAAGGCAGACTCGTTAAGCTGATGAAAATGGTCCTTTGATGCAGCATTTAAAAGTGATGCGATACTTGGGTGGTAGTTCGAAATACTGATTTCTCAGTGTACGTGCTCGGCACTGCTTGGGTTTAGTGTCGTTGTCATTCACAAACTGTACTGTCTACAGCGATACTTCTTTTGGGTTTTTTCTAGTCAGATGTAATTTATGATGAACTTCTCTTAAAGCATCATTTTTCCGTGTTGACTGTGTTCAGCTTTTCAGAAATTATTTTCCCTTCAAACTACAGATTTGGTACCGTTGCCGTCTCTGAGCCATCCCATTAGTTAAGACTTCTTTGTGGGCCCCGAGAACACGACACGGTGGCGCAGGGTTTGGTTCCTGTAGGGCAGTTTGATGGCTCTTTAGCCAAGACTGTGTTGTGTCAGCGTTAGTACAGTATAAATTCAATTATTTCTATATAAATTAAACTTCATGAAAGAGTTCTGTTGTTGATACCCCAGGGCTTTGGACTTTCACTTTCTTGTTTTCACATAATTATCTACATAAACACTTGCATGGAATTCACCTACTTCATGCCAGCAAAGGCTTTACTATTGGCGTAGCGTTTCCGTGTAAATCTTATGCGGTGAGGTTGATTAGCAGTGCAGACTTAATGAAAAATTGAGCTTCCCGTCAGTGTTAACTGCTGGAAACGGTTTGTGAGCACAGTGTGGGTAGTGGGTTCAGGAGAGCAGAGTTCTGGGTGATTAGGCTTTCCTTGTGAGATGGAGTATTTTGGATAAGCTACTTTTTTCCCTCTCCTTAAAAATAATTTTAAGGGTATTCCAGTGTAGAAGAGCTCAGGCGAGAGACCAGTAACTTTTTTCTTCATGGGTAAACTAGTTGGTGTTACTCTGCATCTGGAGCGTTGTGTCCAGTTCGGGGCTCCCCGGGTCAAGAAGGACAGGGAACGGCTGGAGAGGGTCCAGCAAAGGGCTACAGAGATGATGAGGGGACTGGAGCATCTCTCTGATGAGGAGAGGCTGAGGGACGTGGGGCTGTTCAGTCTGGAGAAGAGAAGACTGAGGGGGATCTCATCAACGCTGATCAGTCCTTCAAAGGAGGGTGCCGGGGGGATGGGGACAGTCTGTTTCCAGTGGTGCCCAGTGACAGGACAAGAGGGAACGGGCACAAACGT